AAGTAATCGTGGACGGAACAGAAAATTCTGAATTATTTTGCTCGTACTTTTCTGCGCCCCATCTGTTGAAGAAAAATTAAGGAGTCATTTTAGCGATTTGCGGCCAACTGTTCGGTTAAGGGGTGCGGAGGGTGCGAGAAAAAAAAAAAAAGCAAAGAAAAGCAAAACAAACAAAAGTAAACTAAAAGAAAAGCAACGTAAAGTAAAGCAAAGCAAAGAAAAGCAAAGAAAAGCAAAGAAAAGCAAAGAAAAGCAAAGAAAAGCAAAGAAAAGCAAAGAAAAGCACAGCAAAGGAAAGAAAATAGAACAAATCAACGTTTGTGAGGCAGCAAATAGAACCAAACGAGTGCATATGTTAAATAATCACACGTAAAGGATGCATATTTATACGCTTAGGTACGCATGCACTTGCGTTTTTGTGAAGATGCATACATGTCCTTTTGTTGCGCCTTAGTCAAGTCCCCTAAAAAGAGGCTAAAACAAAATGAATGGCTCTACAACACTACATGCAATCCGTTTGTCATTTTAGCTGGTTGCATGCAGAACAGGAAAAATTATTTATACCTTTGCCTCGGTGCAGTTACACGGACATGTTCCTTCGAATATATATTCAGGTGTATTTCTGTTTGCAAAAATGTGTAAGTAGAAAGGGGGCATTGCATTATTTTGTTCTTTTGGGATTTTGCCTTTGTGCCCTTGGTAACCATGCAATGGGGCACTTTTCTTCCCGAGGTTAATTTTTTTCATTTTACGAAATGCAGTCCGCTGCGCTCTGCGTTGAAGCACAACCCCTTTGCTGCACAGCTCGTGCCTTTTTTTTTTTTTTTTTAAAACGAGAAATGCACCTTTGGAAGGGATAAAACCAAAACATTGTTGGCCTTACATCATGTAGTGTGTGCAACTATTACATTTTTACATACCAAATTTTGTGTTGATTTTACAAAAGGCCCATTGTTCATTTCGAAATGCGCGTCGCCGAGAATTATTTTGTGCAGGTCAGTATAATATGTGTGCATGTTTTTTTAGGCAGATGAAATAAGCCCAGGGGAATTTCTTACGACGTAAAATGTAAATGTGCGCTGATGTGTTTTTCCCATATGCACCTTTTTTTGGCATCAAAAAAGCAGCGGCCAATTTGAAAAAAAAAAAAAAAAAAAAAAAAAAAAAAATTGTCCATTACGTGCAGTTGGATATGCTGCAATCATTCGGCCCATCATACGGTGTTACCCACAACAGTGTGTTCCGTTCCCCTTTAGTTTTCCTTTTACAAGAACGTATTTGTACTAATTTTCGTAAGGACACCTAAATATTGCTTATACATGTTTAGGGGCACTTGATATGTGCATCGCGGGTGCTTCCCCCTGCTGCATTGGAATATGTACCCGCATCAAAGTAACACAGCCTTACCAACTGATATTTTAATAACATAAAATGGTTGCTCATTTTCGACTTGAGCAATATATATCCATTAAGAGGGACAGGTGTTGTCTGACCCAATTGGCTCGTTAACCCATCTACATAATTTATTCAACTTTTTGTAAACTTATTTATTTATTTTTTTTGGCCTGTAAACATTCAAGTAGCTTTTTTAAATGTTCCTCCCGGTATGTAATTGAGTGTATTGGGGTAGATAGGAAATTCGCATGAGTCATTCTCTCGAGTGAAATGTAGGTATAACTTGGGAGGCAAGAGCCCGATCGCGCCATACTGTGGGAGAATTATACACTTTATATGAATAACCTATGCAAAAGCGCAAAAAATAGGGAGCAGAGGCAGCACATACGTTGATTTTGCTCATATGGGGGAAAATGATAATTACTAAAGTAAACATACTTGTATGCTTAATGCCATGACGTGAGAGAAAATTTTTGGAAAAAAAAAATACGGCGACAAATTTTATGAGGTAAAAAAATTAATGGGGAAAATTCCAAATGCGCGGCAAACCCTTTGCTCTCTCCCGTTGTGGGGGCCAAAAACGGCTGGCATAAAAATTGGCAGTGGCACGCGTATTGGGTAAATATTCTGCCACGTGTATTAGCTAAAAGAACATATATATATTTTTTTCTACTGAAGTGAACAGGTATATATGTTATATAAATATGTAGGCTATGTATATTACTACGCACCAGAATACGTAGCAAGAGGAGGAAGGGCGTCGGATCCTCCCTTTCACAAATGTTAAAGTCAAACATTTTCCCGCCATATACCATTCAGTACGGCAAGAATTATGTACGTTATATAAAAATATATATGCGTTTGAAGGAGCGTAAAAATGTTTTGCAAATTTTCCATACGCATTATTATATAAAAAGAGTGGCAATCAAACATTGCGTTGTTTTTATTTACGACGTTATATATTATATGGGTGCCCTTGTTTTATAAGAGCATATATATTTTTGTGTCCTTTGCCTGGATATATATACTCTCAGGGTTGAAAAGTGCTCGTAAATTGTGCGCTGAGTGGGCATACACGGAAAAAAGAAAAAAAACATAACAAATACATAAGGTGATGTTTTGTTGCTTACTTTTTTTATTCTTGTTTCTCTGTATAAAAAAAAAAAAAAAAATCTCAAATTTATCTGAACGCTTTTTATGAACAAACAATTTTTTTTTTTTTCCAATTTTAACTGTGAAGAAAGCTTGATTTATTGTAGTAGCTCTTTTCCGCAGGCCGGAATAAAAACATCATTTAAGAAAGGGAACCATACATTCTTATGTTATAGCTATTTTTGCATATCCCGTTGTATATAGTACTTTTTTAACTTCTTTTTGTGTTGCGTTTACAATTTTTTTTTGGAAACAATGGTTAAGTACGCGAAAAAGTTGAGGGACTTTGGCAAATGTAAGCAAAGAGAGGAAAAAAAAGAAGAAGAAAAAAGGAACAGGGAAAATGAAAATCACCAGATTGTTCGTCATCCCCATTTTTGCGCTCAAAGAATGAGAACATTTGGTGGAAATTTTATGACATGCGGGGAGAGAAAAAAAAAAAAATTACTCGCAAAGGGGGAACAGCAATTTGGAGCGTTGACTTTGTTGGACCCTGTTGCTTTAAATGGCAGCTGTGCCTGAGTAAAGGCATACACATCCGCATGAGGAGAAAAGGGGGCGCCCATGTGACGTAATCACGTATAAAACTGCTTTCTTCATTTTTTTTTTTTTTTTTTCCCTGGAATCCTTTTTTTGGGGAATTTCCATTTTTATTTTTCTTTTGTAGGCGCCAAAGGAGCGGGCATGGATTTAAGAGTCCACTTCAAAAATACGTACGAAACGGCAAGGGCTATAAGGAGGATGAAATTGTTGGATGCGAAAAAGTACCTGAATGACGTCATTGAGAAGAAGAGGTGTGTGCCGTTCCGTAGGTACAACGGAGGTGTTGGAAGAACCAACCAAGCCAAAGAGTTTAACCACACGCAAGGAAGATGGCCCGCGAAATCATGCAAGTTTTTGTTAAACGTGTTGGATAATGTGCAGGCCAATGCAGAGGTAATGATGCAGACCGCACTGTGTGAGATTAGCGCGACAGTTCTTCTAATTCGTTCTTTGTCTCCCCTCCTGGACCGCCGCTTTTCACTTTAATTTTTTTTTTTTAATGATGATACGATGACGAGTATGAAAAAGTAAAGAGGATTTATTACCCGTTTTTAAGTACATGTTTTATGTATTTTCTAATTTGTAATAAATCCATTTCTTTATTTTTAACGAATGATTATTTGAGGCATTTGGCTGAAAAAAAAAAAAAAAAATTAAAAAGGAAAGTGGCCGTCTTGTGCATACCGACGGGGAGCACAGCAGTGTGTCTGTTTGTGCGCCGACCTGTGTTGAAAAATGCGTATATGTATCAGTTTGATGTAGTCTACTGGTACATTTTTGGTGCATGCGTGACAGTTTTATAACCTGATTGGTTGAGTGAATGTATGAGCGCTTATTGTGTGGAGTCCGCGATGAACAAATGTCTTGCGCCTGCCATATGTTAAGGTTTTGGAAAGCGGAGGATGCACAAGTCCACATAATAGATATTTTTTTTTTTTTTACCCGTCTTTATATACGTATTTTATATTTTTTCACTGTCCCCCCTTTTTTTGTGCGTGTACTAGGCAAGAAATTTGGAAGTGAGCAAGCTGAGGCTAATCCACGTGATGGTCAACAGAGCACGAGCAGGACGAAGAAGAACGTTTAAGGCCCACGGTCGAATCAACCCGTTCATGTCATCTCCGTGCCACATCCAAGTAATCGCCAAGGAGATTTCCAAGCCAGCGAAAAAGTCCCTCCTGACGAACGCGGAAAAGCAGAAAGAGCTGCCCTTCAAAATTACCTTAAAAAAATTGATTAAATTAAATATGTCGAAGCAGAATTTTGAAAAGAATAAGAAGAAGGTCGCACATTAGTTTTTTATAAATTGCATGCACGTTTTCGTATATTTTAACTTTGACCTGAATTTTATTTTTTTCCCCCCCCCCCTTTTTTTTTTTTTTTTTTTTTTTTTTTCTTTTTACGAAATGTTGCTGTGCCATATATAATAAGTGATTATTAGCGTGAAATGGGGGGTACGTGTGTGAAAAGCGCTTAAAAAAGGAGGAAGCAGGTAAAGTGGCCATGATCTCCATGTGTTTATATATGCATATGTACGTTCGTGGTATACATTATACCCTGTGCATGCTATGCATGGTCGAATGGAACAAAACTAAATGCACAACTATATAAAATTAAAAAAAAACAAATTGCTATTATTTTTAATTTCAGCACACAAAAAAAGTTGCGCGAAGGGGTAGAGAACAAAATCCAGCCTTTTGAAAGGTACCTTTTTTTGGGCGCTCTTTCTCTTAAGGATTGGTCTTTCTAAAGAAGTGAATTTGCCATGGCATGCTCATTTGAAATAATTCTTATATAATTGGACACATGTTGATGAGATAAAAATGAGAGCTATGCGAAATGGGAACGGATCATGATGTCTCATCCGTTTGAATATAATTTTCTTAGCGGTGTTTCACGCCACGCGTACAGACATCACAATCTCGTGGCAAAGGTGCAGCACTCCAGCATATAGGTGGGGAATGTGTTAGAAGACGGGATTTTAAAAAAGGTAACCTGCAAATGACATTTATCGTGTTTGAGGTGTTGGAGGTAATTGGGACGCAGTTTTCGTCAAGGTGAGGGATTTTTTAGAACAAAAGGTTGTACTCTTGTGTGGGGGAGGGTGGGTCTATGACGGTATGGGAGCAATAAGAAATACATGCACATATGCATATACATATATGTATACACATATGCATATATAATATATAGACGTTTGTTTTCTTCTATTTTATTTTCCCCCCCCCACGTCTACATGGTTATTCAACTTGTTTTTTCTTTCCTTTTTTTTTTTTTATGGTGGGTAATTAAAGAATAATTTATTCCATTTCTCAAAAGAGTGTACTCTTTTT